TCCCAGCTACTCAGGAGGCTAGGGCAGTAGGATTGCTTGAGTCCAGGAGATTGAGGTTGCTGTGAGCTAGGCTGATGCCACAGCACTCACTCTAACCTGGGCAACAAAGCAAGACTCTGTCTCAAAAAAAACCCAAAAAAAAAAACAAAAACCCAAATGATTCACCTTTATGTCATGACAGCAAAGAAAGGCAAGCTTAAAGACCATTTCTCTTCTGATGCTCATTTAATTCATGTGGAACCTTTCTATCAAGCTTTTTTACCTTTCCAATTATTTGTTTCAAATGGTCCAATATTATTGGAATAGTAATATCAAACCTTGCTGCTAATTCATGTGTAGGTTGAGATGGATTTGCTTCCACTATAGCTTTCAGCTCATCATTATCCACCTTGGTCTCAGGTCGCCCACGTGGCTCATTCTCATAATTAAAATTACCAGAATGGAACTTCTCAAACCATGGACGTACTATGTGTTCATTAGCCACATCTTTCCCAAACACTTTGTTGATATTTCCAGCTGCCTGCAGTGCATTGGTTCCATGAAGGAACTCAGATTCGAAAATAGCACGAATTTTTTGCTTACTCATGGTTTCACAAAAATTGCTCTAAAAAGTATTTGAAAGATAATCACAAGCCATACTGTGCATTTGAAAGACTGAGGGTGTACCTTCACACTAAAAATAAAATACAAAGTGTCAAAGTGAAATGTCAGAGATATCAACTGTCAAGCTTAGTACTTAAGGAAATCAGACATTTCATACTTAATAACCTAATAGTAAGTATAATTATTAATTCTCCGAATAAACAGCTGAGGCCCTGAAGAAGCTGGGGAATGAATAGCAGCAGACAAACCTCCAGTATAAACAGAGAAGGGTAAATTCACAGCGGGGACTCTGTGTGAGGACAAAAAGGTGAAATCAACACTGTTTATATTTTGAGAGGTTTTACTGGAAGTGCATGTGCAGGAAAACACAACATTCAAGCAAATGACAATAATCATGAAATTATCTTGCCAAGAAAGAATTCTTAGAGGAGGGGACTTCCAAACTTTTCGTTCTTTCTCAACTTTAGTTCTTTGTTGTTGTTTTTAAAGGTGTAAGATCTGCATTCTATTTCCTGTGAGTGTGTGGTGACCATTTTGTTTCTCTCAGATTTCAATCTACAGAATATTTCCATGGAATCTGTAGGAATCACAGCTAATTTTAGAAGCTGTTGGAGACGTGAGAGAAAGAAAGGTGAGTGCATCATGAATGTGTGATGTAAGTCTTCAAGAAAAGATGCATGTCCATTTCCTCATTTTTAAGAGGCATTATTTTTTTTAATTTTTAGTATTTATAAAATTGATTGCAGCTTATGACTATGTTTACATTTAGTGTAGTATTATGTACATTTAGTGTAGTATTTCTTACACACACACACCCCAACACACAGCCTCACCAAAAAAACCCTCTATTTGTTTTAAATTGGTACATCTGTCATTGAAGACGTTTTTAAGTGAGGAAGAAAATATAACACATTAACTTAGAGTGTCACAATTTTTAAACAATATTTCCAGTTGAAAACAAACAAAAAACCAAAATTATTGTTATAATTATTTTGCAAAACTCTTTTTTAAAGAATTCTTCTAAAATGTTATTAATTGCATATTATTGTGCAGCATGAACAAACCATAGTTTCCACTCTCATTCCTATGCTACATGGCATTTATATTGTATTGTTTCTAATTTAAAAATTCTTTTTAATTTATAATATTAAGGGAATAGAAAAAAATATTCTATGCTTTATATGGAACCAGAGAAGACCAGTATAACAAAAGCAACCTTAAGCAAAAAAAAAAAAAAAAAGTGGGAGACATCAATTTACCAGACTTCAAGCTATACTACAAGGCTATAGTAACCCAAATAGCATGGTACTAGCACAAGAACAGAGACTTGGATTAATGGATCAAAACAGAGAACCCAGATATAAAACCATCCTCATATTGTCATCTTCTTGCCATCAAGAAGAGAATGGTGCTGGGAATATTGGATAGCCACATGTAAAAGACTAAAACAAGATCCACATCTCTCACCTCTCACAAAAATCAACACACAGTGGATAACAGACTTAAACCTAATGCATGAAAACATAAGAATTCTAGAAGAAAATGTTGGAAAAACTCTTATAGACATTTGCCTAGGAAATGAATCTATGAAGAAGACCCCAAAGACAATCACAGCAACAATAAGAATAAATAAATGGGACCTGATCAAATTAAAAAACTCTGCACAACCAAGGAAACTCTCATCAAAGCAAATAGAATGGGAGAAAATATTTGCTTATTACACATCCAATAAAGAGCTGATAACTAGAATATATATATATATATATATATATATATATGTGTGTGTGTGTGTGTGTGTGTGTAGAACTTAGGAAAATCAACAAGAAAAAATCAAACAACCCCATTAAGAAGTGGGCAAAGGGCACAAACAGAAACTTTTCAAAAGAAGACAGACTAATGGCCAACAAACATGAAAAAATGCTCAAATCTCTAATAATAAGGGAAATGCAAATCAAAACCACAGTGAGATATCACTTAACTCCAGTGAGAAGGGCTCTTATCAAAAAGTATCAAAACTACAATGTTGGCATGGATGCAGAGGGATGCAAACTAGTACAACTTCTATGGAAATTAATATAGAGATACCTCAAAGAACTCAAGTAGAACTACCATTTGATCCAGAAATTCCACTACTGGGTATTTAACCAAAGGAAAAAAAGACATTCTATAAAAAAGACGTCTGTACTCAGATGTGCATAGCAGCACAATTCATAATTGCAATGATATGGAAACAATCCAAGTGTCCCTTAATACATGAATGGATTAATAAAATGTGGTATAGGTATACCATGGAGTACTACTCAGCCATAAAAAATGATTAACTAATATCCCTTGTACTATCTGGGATAATGCTGGAGACCATTCTGCTAAGTGAAGTATCACAAGAATGGAAAAACAAGCACCACGTGTACTCACCATTAAATTGGTACTAATTGATCAACACTATGTGCACATATGGCAGTAATACTCAAAGGGTGTCAGGCAGATGGGAGGGAGGAGGAGAGGATGGGTAAATTCATGCCTAATGGGTGAGGTGCATGATGTCTGGGGTTTAGGCATGCTTTTAGCTCTGACTTAGATGCTACAAAGGCAATATATGTAACCAAAGCAGTTGTACCCCCATAATATTCTGAAATAAAAAAATACCATTAAAATTTTTTTAAAAATAAAATTTATTAAAAAATATTATGGGAGTACAAAAGTTTTTATTACATGGATACACTCTATGATACTGAATGCAGGGATTTCAGTGTGCCCACCACTATGACAATGTTCTTTATACCCAATAGGTAAGGTTTTACCCCACGCCCTCCTGCTACCCTATTCCCTTCTTAGTTTCCAATGAGATTTACTTCTTTTTGTGCCCATGTGTACTGATCATTGAGCTCACGTTTATTAATAAGAACACATTATGTTTGCTTTTCCATCCTTGAGTTACTTCACTTAGACTAATAGCCTCCAGTCCCATCCAAGTTGCTGCACTTATCATTATTTCATTCCTTTTTATGGCTGAATAGTATTCCATGGTATGTATATATCACATTTTCTTTACCCAGTCATGTATTGATGGACACTTAGGTTGACTACATATCTTTTTTCTTGTGAACTGTGCTGTGATAAACATTCGAGTACAGGTGTCTTTTTTATAAAATGATTTATTTTTGTTTATGTAGGCACCCAGCAGTGGGAGAAAACTTTCTACGCATAGGCCTAGGCAAAGAATTTATGACTAAGACCCCAAAGGCAAATACAGCAGCAAGAAAAGTATATAAATGGGACTTAATTAAATTAAAAAGCTTATTCACAGCAAAGGAAATAGGTAACAGAATAAACAGGCAACCTACAGAATGGGAGAAATTATTTGCCAACTATATATCCAAAAAAGGACCAGTTTCCAGAGTCTACAAAGAACTCAAACAAAACAGCAAGAAAACAAACAACCCCATCAGAAAGTGGGCAAAATACATAAACAGAATTTTTTCAAAAGAAGACACTGACATTTGTAGTAATCCATGGAAAGGCAGGCAGGGCGGGGTGGGGCAAGGCGAGGTGAGGTGAAAGAAGAAAGGGAGGGAGGAGAGAGGGAAGGATAAGAAAGAGAGAAGAAGAAGAAAGGAAGGCAGGAAGGCAGGAAGGCAGGCAGGAAGGAAGGGAAAATCAGTTTGATAAAACAATGTTCTTACCAAATTCACTTACCTCATGCCTCCTGGCAATTAACATATTCATTGAGGTACAGCATGTGTAGGGCACCACATTAAGCAAGTAATAGAAAAGAACTCCATTCTAAAGCTAATTATGATCCTTAGTAATGAAGATAAAAATATGAAAATGATTACCTCCCAGAGTCATTTCAAAATGAAGATGTATTTCTCTATCACACACAAATAAAACTGTAAGATGAGAGAGTGGAACGTTGGGGTAATGGTGCTGTTGGCCTTCATCCAGTAATTATAAGGCAGGGGTCCTCAAACTTTTTAAACAGGGGGCCAGTTCACTGTCCCTCAGACCATTGGAGGGCCGTTGGAGAGTGCAGTGCACATTCCACACATGCGCACTGTGGGCCCAGGACAAGTCGGCTGCTAAGCAGGACAGGCAGCTGCAGCAAAAACACCTGGTAGGCAGGATAAATGTCCTCGGCGGGCCATATGTGGCTCGCGGGCCATAGTTTGAGGATCCCTGTAAGGTCAGACGTTGGGAGTATGAGAGGCGAAAAAAGCATGATTTTGGCAAAGGTACCAGGGACCTTCAAATGGTTTGTATATTTATTTGTCCCTCCAAAGCTCATGTTGGAATGTGATATTCAATGTTGGAGGTGGGGCCTACTGGTAGGTGTCTGGGTCATGGGCCAGATCCCTCATGAGTGGCTTAGTGCCCTCCCTATGGTAATAAGTTCTCACCCTATTAGTGCATCCGAGAGCTGGTTGTTGGAAAGAGTCTGGCACCTTCTTCCTTCCTCTCTCTCTTTGTTTCTCTCTCACCACGTAGTAGGCCTGCTCCCCTTCTGGGACCTTCCACCTTGGTTGGCAGCTCCCTGAGGCCCTCAGCAGAAGCAGATGCTGGAGCCATGCTTCGTGTACACCCTGCAGAAGCATGAGCCAAATAAACCTCCTTTTAAAATAAATTGCCCAGCCTCAGGAATTCCTTTACGGCAATGCAAATGGACTAATGGACAGGCCTTCAGGTATCATTCACAACCAAATATTTAGAACTTAAACATGTCCAAACTCATAAAACTTCTTCTACTTCTGCCACCAACTTCTATTGTTAATGCAGCTCAGAGAAATTAAAAAAAGAGGTAATGCCAAACAATGCTATCAAAACTCTGTGTTGAAATACATGAAGTCTGATCTCTAAGGTCACCAGACATACCAGCAAATAATATTCCAAACGTTACCTCTTTGCCCCTTGACTGGGAAAGAATATTAGAAATTATAGTTCTCTTTCCCTTTGGCTGATAGGAAGAAACTCATAAGTCATCCAATTTCACTTAATATCCCATCAGTTCCTATTAATAGAAAAATCTAACTCAGCATTGCTTTTTCATTGGCTTGAAAAATGATGCTCAGTATCATCTGGCTGGAATTAAAGCTCAGCTTCTCTGTTTTTCTCTATGTGAAGCAACTGTTAGTGTTGTAGTTTCAAGCAAAATTATAATTAAAACACTGACAGACTTAATCACACCTATTCTTAATGTTTTCAAATTCACATTGAAAATGTATTTTATAATTATTTGAAAAAGAAATCCGCATACACATCTAGCTCCTTATATATCTCATTTCATCTAGTGCATGATAGAACACTTTGTATTTGTTCAAGCATTTTGGCTGTACAGATGGTTCTTAATTCATAATGGAAAGGGAAAAAGAAAGATTTGTCAGTTTTCTTTTCAACTTGCCTTTTTATATATCTTGAGGACATATAACATTTCGAAATGATTCAGAGAGGAAGAGTTGGTATTCTTTGCTCTTTTTCCTTCTCAGCTGCTCGTTTTATTTTTAATGTTTGAGCCAAAGTCATTTCACTCCTACTCAACAGAGGGGAACTCTCTTGCCTCTCCTGCCTCTTGCCTGCCTATTTGAGTCAATCCAAAATTGCTTGTTGAGGAAATGTTTATGTTTGCCCATAACAACCCCTGAGCCTCGCTGTATTTGGAAGGTTGGTGACCTTTCCTTCTATGAAAACTGAGAGCTCATTATTTCCCAAGTCAGTCCATTTGAATCTTGAGTCACTCTTATTTTTCAAAGTTTGCCTTTATCAAGCCAAAGCCCAGACAACAAATCATTGGTCCCATTCTGACATCTGAAGCTAAATAGAATAAATCAAATGCTCCTTTCATAAACAAATATATATAGTGCTTTAAGGAATCAATGAGATGTTAATCAATAAGATGTTAGATTCTTTTTGAACTTAGTTTGCTTTCTTTTGATAACAAAAAGTTCCAGGGAAAGTAATTTTTTCTTTGTAGGGACAGAAAGAAACAGAAAGTGCAAATCCTTTTCTGGTTTTTCATTGAATTATCTTTTTGACTCAGATTGCTCATTTGAGAAATGAGCACATCTATGTCCAACTCTAATCTTCACAAACAAGACAGGATGGTTACATTTTTTAAAAGTCACTTTAGTTCATGAATTCTTTACAATAGAAGTAGTTCACATACTAGAAAAGTGGAAGTGGTTGATCAGTTAGGAAGAGAAGACATGTGATTCTGCAGGATTCTTGGGCATTTTCTAAGAAGAAAGAAAAAGGGCATTCTTCATGCTTCCTTAATTGTCTAACTTAAATTTCACCTCCTCTGTGAAGCCTTCTTCTCCTCCAGCTTCCTTCAACCTTCAGGCATCATTGATTTCCCCTTAATGCTTTGTCTGTGTAGTGGCCACAGCCCAATTTTGTATTACAGTTCAGTGTGTACAAATTGGTCTCATATCTACATAGTGGGCTACTGGAGGACAAGAAAGTTAACCACTTGTTGTATCCTAGGCACATTGCAAGGGATCAATAGATATTAATTGACTTGAATTAGAAGTTGACTTAACTCCATTTCCCAAAGACAAGCTGAATAGATTCTATTGATTTGTCCCAAGGTCACAGATATTGATGGTTTAGAATGAAGCTGATTCAGCTTTCCTGGTCTCATCTAGGCAGGCTGATTCTATATACACCATTCATGCATTTCATGAAATTATAGTCCTAAGAAAATCTATTAAGATTTTATACTCTCAATGCGTATAACAGTTGTTTTGCGCAACTTAAAATATTGATTGTATTCAATGAGGGAATGTTTTCTAGCAGAAATGTTCTCCGATAAATACCACAGATGGTGGCATACTTTTTTGCTTTGAATCATTTTCAGCAGAATCCTAGTCACATCCTAACTATTTATACAACTTTTAGATCATAAATCATACTTTTTAATTTCCTTGGGATTTTGGGGGGATTTTTCCTAGTCAGGCAGAGACCACTCTAAACTTATTAAAATAAAACAAGACAATTGTATTATGCTAGAATAGTTTTAAAATAAACTAAAAGAAAGGCTCCATTCTGAGCTGAAAGTAAGCAGACTAATAAAAAACACATCCTACGGGCATAAATAGGCATTTCTGTGTCAGATTATTCACACCAATCTCAAAACATCTAAGCCTAGGACATTGCCACAGGACGCTGGTACCATGCAGTGATCAAACTAATATGGCATTCGACTAGATTTAATGATACCTAGCCAAATTCTGAAGGCATGTATGGAAACACATATGCAAGAAGATATACGACACAAACCTAGATTCTGTGTGCTTTAACTATGCCTTTTCATCCATCTGGTGGCAGAGGGGAAACAGAGTTGATTGGCAGAAATCTATCCCCTGTTCTTCTGAAGAGAAGTGATGTCTGCCTACCTTAGGATGGCCACCCAACTGCCAAACAGGGCCAGGGAAGCAATCAACCTAGGCATGGGTTTCAGTGTTATTGAAACGCTTCTGCCTTATTCTCCCTTACTGTCTCTATTGATTTAGAGACTGAGCCGCAATGGGCCAGTTATTTTAAAGAACATTAAATACATTAGAAACATGTACTAAGTTATGAAGCAAGATGCTTTGAAATTCTGTGTCCAAATAAGTGGCTTTTCATCTCTTCTGGACTTCAGTTTCCTAATCAGTAAAGTTACAGAAGGAATTGAATTATTTCACTTAGTTCCTTAAACAGCACACTGGAATCAACTTCCTATATTTAGTTTCACCTACACTTTATTTCTTAGGATTTGCCAATGCCAGAAAAAAAAAAAAAAAGACACGACTACCGGTGAGGGAAACTAAATATCACCACCACAATCATCATCATCCTCACCATCGTCATTCTTATTATTGTCAAGTTTATCATAACATGGAAGACTATTTTTCAAAGTTCCATTCTCCATTTTGTATAGCAAGCAATTCAGTATACTTGGGGTTATGGTCTTTGATCAGTATTAAGGTGATAACTCAATGCTTATGATCCAATGCTTATATAACTTTAACGAAACCCTATTTGTATATTTATCTCTGCTGATGCTTCCTAAGTAAGCCACCTGTCTTTCTTAACACCACCATTAGCACTTAAAAATTAAGATAATGGTTAATACATGTGCATTGTAATAATGATAATAATGATAAAAATTGTTTAAAATTGGTAATTGGCATTTCCGATATTTTTCACCCAACCCAACTTTCTACATATATAATTATTTTTTGCATTCTGTCTCAATCGGTATGCTTTACATAATAAAGAGCACTCTGGACCTGTCTCCAGGCTTCACTGCTATATGCTAGATGTCAATAATACATACACCAGAGGACTCTGGAACTCTCCAAGGAAGCCATACAGAATATTAGTGATTCTTTTCTCTGTGTCCTTTGTAGGAGGTAGTCTATTACTATTATTATATATTTGGGTTGTAGCTCAAGTTTGTTTATTCCTTCTACATATGAATATGAGAAGTCATATTATAAAGAAGGGTTAAATACAACCCCTTCCACTAGTCCAGCTTTGAGTCAAATGATGTTAGCTAATCTATTAATAATACATAAGTACAATTCCTTTAGTCATTTATAGCAACATTTTCACGATAACACGAAAGTAATCTTTTTTACAGTGCAGGTCTGATCACAATGCTGCCTTCTCTGGACACTTCAGTGGCATCCTGCGCCTCATTGTTGAAGCTAAAAATCCTTAGCATGAAATGAAAGAGCCTTTATTATTTTATCCCTGTTTATTGCTCCATTCCTTGTCTCTTAATGCCGCATCCCACATTCTTGGATTTTTTATCCTCAACTACACCAATTTATAATATGTGTATCAGAGAGAGTGGTGATAGATGCAGGTTTCCATATGTAATAGTAGATACAGTTTGTTTAAGGTATATTTTAATGCCTTAGCATAGATGTTTTATGATGTGAAAATATCTGTAAGTCTGTTGAGCCAGGAAAGCCAGGAAATAGGGACTTCCTAGGTGCTCTGTTAGTCCATGCTGTTGTAAGGATAGGCGATAATTAACTGGACTGAAAGAAATGGTATCCCAGAAGAACATGTCATACCCCAGCATAATTCCCAAGCAAGATTTAAGAAAAGGAATATTTATTTTCATTAATTCACATTTCTGTTAAAAAAAAATCCGCAGGATGTCTTGCATTGTGTCACAAGCAAAGGAGAAAATGTTCTCAGTGATGAAGGGTCATTTTCTCTGTTACCATTAACTAGATATTTCCTTATGGGATGAAAGATATCACTGTTTGCTTCCTTCTGAGCTATGGCTAGAAAAGTCCTTTCATTTTACTGCCCATTACCATGTAAGGGTGAAAAATGAGTTTCCTCACAATATTTCTGATTTACACTCTCCTTTTTCATTTCTCTATTGTGACTTGCTTACACATAACATATTTCTGTGATTTAAGGTTCTTCTTGTAGTTCTTTCTTAGCACCAAAATCAAAACTTTTCATTTGTCCTTTTATATACATGATGAAATATACACATTGCAAAAGTAGAAATACATATTCTCTGTAGCAACTTGCTATTTATCTTCCTAAAAGAATGAATCTTCAAAAAAAAGTATTTGATCATTAAAATAGTAAACATATCTAGTACATGCCAGAGAAATTTATAATAAATTCAGAAAATAATCTTCCTATAGTAGATCCTCAGTCAACAGCCTCATATTATCTGTGCCTTTTCTAATAATCCCTACAGCCATCTGAGGTTGAAAGAGAGTGTTTCTTCATTGCACAGGAGAAAACTGATTGCGGCTGAGGCGAGGCTGTTCAAAATGGAGCCTGAATCTGAGTGGGGAGCCCCCTTTTCAAAACTATCTTGTTCACAAAATCCAAATGGCATTTGGAACCAACAGAAGCTTTGAACAAACTGGAGCCTTTCATAAGCACACTCTCCAAATCTCATTTTGTTGGAGTCATAGTCCAAAGACAAGTTTCATTGCAGGGCCTCCCACTTAACCTTACAAGTTGTGTGACCATAAACTATTTACTTAACTTCTCTATGTTTCAGTGCTCTTATTGGTAAAGCACATATGACCTATAGCTCATAGGTAGGTACTATGATCATAAGGCACTTATGGAAATGCCTGACATACAGTTAATGATAATGAAGTTTAGTTATTTCTGCGATTAAGTTAACTAGATATGCAGAAGATGACATTGGTAAAATTGAAAATCCCTTGTGAAATCTATTCTCATTACCTTTAGCTGACAACAATATGTTAGAGAGTTATACAATGATGTCCTTCTTCTCTTTAACCATATATAGTTTCATCAGGGTCATTTCAGGAAAAGGTCTGGATATTTTGTGGTGTTTGAAGCCAAGTAAGGATAACAGAAGAAAATACTTGAGTTGCAGAAATGCCTCAGTAAGGGGGAAGTTATCAGATGCTCAGCACAACTCTTGGAAGAGCTGCTTTCTACCCATCTCTACTGAGACTGATGTCACCCTGAGAATAAAAAGAGGACCATAATGGAAAAGCAAAAGTCAATTATCAGTTCCATATTGCTTCCTTTCAGTTAAAAATAGTACTCTGTTTCTGTTTCCTTATGAAAGACCAGAAAAAAGAGGAAATGAAAGTTTCAAAGATGTCATTAGTTTTGAACTAGAGAGCCAGCTCATGTGAAAAACATGATCAGTCTGGAACCTAAAAGGAAAACACTAACTCAATTTGTATTATAAGTCAGAGTGCTGAGCTCACCTGACTCAGCTCAATGAAAACCCTCTTCATTCAAAATCGTTTTACATCAAATAGCATGAGAAATGTGAACAACTCAAAATAAACCACAACAAAAGCTTAAATGTTAAGGGGGCATGTTCAAAGGTATTAGTAAAGACATGTTGTAACCCTACAGAAGCAAAATGTTAATACATGTGGGTAACAGAGTGTGGACTGGGGAAACAAACACTGTACCCACCTAAGCAGCTGGTTACTATGAAAGAACAGTGTGTCTTGACATTGACACAGGGAAGAAAAATTTATAATAAATAAATAAAAGGGAACAGTGTGTCTGGTTCTATTCTGTTCAAAGCGATCTCCTCTCTCTTGACGAACTGGAGTCTTGAGCATTTATTTCAACTGTTTGAGATTTGAATTTCCCCTTTATAGTTTCTAGAGAATAAAAGTAAAACATTAACACCACTGTTTTAACATGCTGTGAAATCCAACCTGCCCATGAAACTTTGGTTATTGCAGTTCACCCTACTGTCCAGTAAACCAGAGACTCCAGATAAACTCTTCCAGAGCGTGATTTGTATAAAAACTTAATGGCTAGCTCTTTAAGGGAAGCTGCCTTCTCTCTTTCAGGGGAAGACAGTGACCATTCTAGACAGTGGTGTAAGCCTCTGCTCAAATCTTACTTCCTCCTTTTGTAAGGGCTTAATTGTCTTCCTGGTTCAGCCTAGGAAGCACAAGATCAAGTGCATTGCCTCACTGAGCAGGAGATCAGTAATGAGCATGCAGAGGGCTTCCAGGCAGAGGGGATTAAAAAGTAAATAGCTTGTTTGGAAAGAATATTTCAGCTTTAGAAAGAAATGGAACTCATACTTTTTAAATAGAGGGATGTAAATTTTGGCACATAAACTTCTTGCTTAAGAAAGAAGTTATTAATCCATGCCACAAGTTGTAAATAATTAAGTCAGATTCTTCCCATAACCAGAATCTTTCTTGTTAGTGATGAAATCACTTAGGACTTTGTTATTGTATTCCATGGGTTAGCACTGGCAACAGCTGAGAAGGGACTAAGACAACAATGCCAACTGATACTTAATTAAGTTCCCACGTTATCACTGAATCATTGTTGACACAGTTCAAGCCCCAACATTGGTGTGTCTCATTCCTGACATCCTCCTCCAGACTGAGGATGAACCCCACCACCTTGCTCTTCTTGGAGACTATATGGATTAGTAATTGTCTCACATACTTTACTTTTTATATCTCAACTACCAGGATGAGGGCATATATGTCTTTTCAATCCCAGAGTACAATGAAATATTAGAAAAATACTTTACTAATTGATAAACCAAAACATGCATTGGGTATTATAAGCTTTCACAAGCTTATAAGCGTATGAAATCATAGCATTTCCTAATAGCAATTCAAAGAGCTGAGCCCTTTTGTATTTGCTGGGCATTGTTCTAAGGTCTGTGCTTGTGTTATTTTATTCAGCCTTCCCAAGCACCCAGTAAGGTAGGGACTGGAACTCCTCTTAACTTGCCCTAGTCTGACTTCAGAACCTACTTCCTTAACACTGCTACTTTGCCACCCACTGAGAGGTCTCTAAGCTAGGAAGGATATCATCATTTTACAGACAAAGAGGGAAAGATCCAGAGAGGTTAACTGGCTTGCCCATGGTTAAACTACTCTCAGCAGAACTGAGCTAGAATCCAATTTGCTGATACTAGTTCCAGAACTCTGTTCCAGAATTCCTTGACTACAATGTACCTCTGTGTATGGGAGTCAATTCATGTATGCAATTCTAATGTTTTAGAGGAAATTGTAGCATTTTTCAAAGTTTCTCAGTCTCTTGCATACTTCATTCATGGCAAATAATAAATACCTTATTATGTACTCACCTTCTCTAAATGTGACCACTCTTTTGAAATGACCTATGCATGTCTTTTATACTTTTGCTACATATGTTTACATGCAAAGATAATATATAATGATTTTATATACTTAAAATGTATACAAAGAGTTGCCTCTTATATGAATCCATTTCACCTTATTTCTTCACTCAGTTTTTGTTTTAGTTTTCAGTTAGAAAGTGTTATCCTTAGGTATACAGATTATATTCTTAGGTGTTAGGGTATCTGACAAGTGTGAGCATAAGCTATGACTCTGAAGGAAAAGCACATATTTAAATAACAGAACCCCATAAGGCAAAGACTATTGTGTATCTAAAATTATGTATTTGGTCTTCTTTAATGCACATTGTACACTTCTTAAATAAAGATGAAAAAAATCAGCATAATGAAATCGGAGTAGAGATATAAACAAAACCAACGATTACAGAGAACTGAACTGTAAAACATCATGGGAGTCTAGGATAAAGGAGGCACTCCAGAGAAGGATAAAGAATTCCAAATGTTCTTGGACTCCAGCCCTGCTTAGCCACTAGGGTTAGTGCCCATTCACTGCTTTGGCCTTTCCAATGCTCCTGTCCCCATCTGCCTTCGTCTCCTTTGCAAACAAAGCCTGTTTATCTTCTCTCAGCCCACCTGTGAGTTGTGGCCTGTGGCAATACCAGTGCACCCTCCTCTTCTTCCTTTCCCTTGAAATCTTATCACCCAAAAAAAACCTCTTAACAAGTGCCCCTCCTGCCACTGGAGCTATCTTGCAAACATTCTCCCCTCAATGACAAATGATTTTGCACTTCTGAATTGTTGCATTACTCATTGTTTTGGTCTGAGAAACTAACTCCTCAAGGCATGTTATTCCTTTTGACACAAATTTTTCATTCCCTATACCTGTTTCGTGTGTCCAGAACATAAGCAACCATAAATCATTTTAATAACTCGTCCAATTTTTCTTACAGCACATTTTTTCCAGACTCTAGTGTTATCCCATATAAAATGTATAGTTCCAATTTTACAGGTAAGTAAGAAAATAATAAGAAAGTCTTAAATTGAAAGATATCACCAATAAGAATACTACAAAGTAATAACTTACATGTATATGTCACTTAATGGTTGTACAAATCACTTTGGCTTACCTTACCTCATTTGGTTTTCACAACAGTGAGAGGTTTAAAAATGATATTTTCAGCTTCCGACTATTAGCCTTTTTATTTTCCAGTTTAAGTTTAACAGATAGCATCCATTATAGGGTACTTTGACAAAAGGTGTTAGAGGCTTACCTTTCACAATGCCAAAGCCAAAAATAGTCCATTCTGAGAAAAATAAGCCTTATAAAGACAACATTCTCTACAGGGGCCTGTTCACCATCTGTTATGGTCTGCTTGGCTGTGGACATTTTGATGAAATATTGAAATTAGGGCCAACCATCCTAGATATCTATAAAAGTATCTGGAAAGGTTTATAATTCAGAATTGCATGAAGACAAGAAAAATGGGATTGTTATAACTGACACATGGGATTGATACTTCTGTGTGTGCTACTATAACCCCAAGGTGTCTCTGATAGGAGTAGAGTATGGTATGGCCCATGGTTTTAATAAATACTCTGTTTCTTGGCCACATACTCACACTCCATGGCTGGAGAATGTTTTCACTTCACATAAAGTATAGATAGTGCCTGGGATTTGGGCATCTCTTCTCTGGTGTATTCACCTTGTCTCTTGAATACCATACATGGGAATGTGATGGGCCAAATTGTGTCCGCCCCAAATTCATAAGTTGAAGTCCCAATCTTCAATACCTCGGAATATAACTTCTTTTGGAGATGAGATTTATAAAGAAGGAATTAAGCTAAAATGAAGCTGTTAGAGTGTAAGCTTAATCCATTCTGACTGGTGTCCTTACAGAAAGAAGCAGCAGCAACAGGAGTGTGAATGCACAGAGGGATGACCATGCAAAAGGCAAGAGGGCAGCCAGCTGCAAGCCGGAAGGGAGGTCTCGGGAGAAACCAGTCATGCCGGCGCCTTGATTTTGGATTTCCAGTCTCCAGAGCTGTGAGAAAAAAAAATTTATTGTTTAAGCAAACTAGTCTGTGATATTTTGTTATGGCAACCCTAACACACTAATACAATGGCAAAGATACTTCAAATGTCCATGGGTATTTTAAGCCAACTCTGCAATGAACATAAAGCATCACTCAGGGTCTTCGGCTCTCACCTCCTCATCCACAGACCCTCAGCTTTTGTGCTCAATCACCCTCCCCCAAGACCCTGCTTCTTCTTTTGTTTGGCTTTGTAACATGGCTCATGCATCTTACTTTATACCAGTGGATTCTGGCGATGGATGGGGGCTTAGTAGCATTAGATCTTAAGCATTGGAAAAGAACAAGTTCTACATGGGCTGATCTGAGGGCACAATATGTAAAGGGTAATCGAATGTTTTCCATGTAAAGTAACCTCTCACCATCAGATCTTCTATGTATCATTGTACAAAATATGTTTATCAGATATTCACTTGATTCATACTGATAAAACAACCCTCTTCTATTATTTAAACTTTGATACACAACACATTCCAAGAAGAGGTTAAATGTCTTGAATTGGTCATGGGAAGGTTTAGAAATTTCATTCTACCACATACACAGTACTATAGAGTTAAATTTGGCCTGAAAATATATCCTTTCAACTGCTTATATCAGGTTCCTGAAATTACTCTGGAGTTACCAGTTCCTTCTTACTAAGGTAAACAAGATAATCAGTAATGAAGGTCAGCTTGTGCTCTAGTCCTGCCTGAATTCCTCCTCCTATGGCTTCTGTTTTCTATGTTGTTCTTTTCTCTTTGGGGACTGATAACTTTTTTTGTGTCTGGATCTGTACTTCTCAATCTCTGCGTATACAGTTTCCCAAAATGCATGCAAGAACAACATTTAGCAATAGATACACATAAAATTTTTCTTCTTACAAAATCTTGACTGCTTATGAATTGACCAACCTGGAAATGATACCTGCCTGTTATATCAACTTGGCAACAGTGTCATCAATCTGAGCACCTTTTCCTTTTTTCTCAGTGATGTTGGAAGAACTGCAGGATCATGATAAATCTCTTGTGGGAAGAACCATTCCCACATGGTGTCTGAGTTGCAAGCAGATCTTATGGTGGCAGATATTTAAAATATTTAATAACAAGTAAGCATTGGCACAGACCAGTAAGCACTGGTACATAATATTATGTAGCAATAATGCAACATCTTCAAAATGATCATGAGAAAGACTCAAAGGAACATTAAAATTCATCAAACATCTTCCCATGAGGCCTTGGCTTTATTAGGGGCATAGCACTGGGCCCTGAGAAGCCAGGATCATGTCAGAGATTTAGACAGCCTGTCACCCACTGGATGGGGGCCCTTTGTGATGTCCCTGACACTGTTGGCATTATCTCTCCATCACAGACTTATGGCTTCTCCCAGCTGTGAGAACCCCTGGTGGTATTCTTGTCTATTAAGTGATAAATATCTTGATCTCAAAAAATTGGGGTTGGGTGACTAGGTTCTCACCTATTTATTTACTCATTCCACAAAAGTTAACTACAACTGAGTTTCAAACATGGACCAGGTACTACATTTGTTTTTAAAAATTTGATGAATAACTATAATAAGTAAGTATATAAGTGAACAAATGACTAAAACTACAATACTTTGTTCATCAATTTTCTTTGTAACACAGATATGAACTATTCTCAAAATAGAGAGACTTAACACAGAGGGCAAGATAGGGAGGAAACTTCCTCCAATTTAAAGAGACCAGGAGAGCAGAGATATTTATTTCTAAGATATCACTGACAGAACTGTGTTACAGACTTGGAGGTTGCCACTACTTTGAAAAAAAAAGAAGGAAGCAAAACAAAATGTCATTAGTTCATAATAGTGACAGTATGTAAGTCTATTGGTCTAGCATAAATATTGATATATCCTCCTCTGTTGTCAAACTAATCCTGATTACAACGCTATCAGTTTACTAAAACTTACCGGAACTCAAAAAAGGTTTATGTTGCAATCATTCAATTTTATCTGTAAAAAATTGAATATTTTGCAACTTGTATTAATTCTCAGGGTTCTTAAATTGCAGATTATTTGCTTAACTCAGTGAATTTTTCTGTGCTTGTGCGTGTGTCTTGAATCACAACTCTTTAAACTAACATAAAAAACGAAGTTAAGTCATAAACCTATCAAGATACATTTCCTTATCTGCAGAGCACGTGCTGAATTAACAGGACTGTGTTGCTCATAATTATGAAGTAATTATGTTGTTTAATCATTCTGGGACTTCCTTTAGAACATGAACATCTCAATGACAAGAATTATGGACATATTCACATTTGTCTAACACATAACAAGTGCCAAATAAGATTTCCAAATAAATGACTGAATAGGTGAATGTGCTCTAGACAGACTTCACCAAAACACTGGGTTTAGTACTGAGCAAATAATTGAAAAGGATCATGGGCAAACCACAGTGAAAGTAACACATGCAGTGAAGAATCTGGAAACTCTTTATTTGAACTGATGGGATGTGGGATGTACAGCCTAATGAAGAAGTGTTTCAAGGTTTTGAGGGAATGACAGTTGTCTTCAATGCCTGAAAAGAAGCACATATAGAATGCAAAATCCATAAAAGCAGAGAATGTGCCTTATTTCTTATTTTATCCTCAGCACTAATGGCACACATGAGAGAATCAGTCAGCATTTATTAAATAATGAATAAACAAATGAATGAAAAAGGTACAAAAGGCAGATTTGGGCTGAAGTATAGGATGAACTTCATAAAAGGAGAATTGTTAAAAAATGAAATGACCTGCATTTCTGAGTGGGAAATTTCAGTCAGTAGGCTATTGAAATAAAATTGGAATGAATATAAGATGGGTTTCCTTAATTGTAAGATTTTCTGATATGCATGTTGGACTTCCAATGAATCACAAAATATTTTCTGACTCAATTGGTTCTTAAAGTTGTACCCAATATGAATGTGACTGATAACCACACAAATTGCCTCACTAGTGAGATTGTCCAACCATATAAAAAAATCATTAATCCAGGCCTCTAGAATAGAAACACAGATAGATGAATTCAATCCATCATTACTGCCAAAAGAAAAATGCATTAACAGTAACAAGATTTCAAGGTAGGTATTTTATTACACTCTTTCAATAAAGCACTTTGAACAATGAAAAGTATGTTATAAAGAAAATAAATTGTTTATAAAAATGGACTGAGGAAAACATCAAAAATCTATCACATTAATTTCTATTTAAAAATCAACGTAGCCGGGCGCTGTGGCTCACGCCTGTAATCCTAGCTCTTGGGAGGCCAAGGCGGGCGTATTGCTCAAGGTCAGGAGTTCAAAACCAGCCTGAGCAAGAGCGAGATCCCGTCTCTACTATAAATAGAAAGAAAATTAATTGGCCAACTGATATATATATAAAAAAATTAGCCGGGCATGGTGGCGCATGCCTGTAGTCCCAGCTACTCGGGAGGCTGAGGCAGAAGGATCACTCAAGCCCAGGAGATTGAGGTTGCTGTGAGCTAGGCTGATGCCACGGCACTCACTCTAGCCTGGACAACAAAGTGAGAAAAAAAAAAAAAAAAAAAAAAAAAAAAAATCAACGCAGTATGTGTACTAATCAAAATGGGACATTTTATATAATCCTATATAATATATAATTTTAGGTAATCCTTTTACAGATATGCTTTGTCTATAGTTTTATTGCTTAGGGTGTTTTAAGGAGATATGTTGACCCTCCATGCTCCAAAATTTCTTTCCAATTACCTTACTTAATATGTAGAAAGTATCATTTATTATATCCCCAATCATTAAAATGTTTATTTTGTTTTTTCTAATATTATTTTGTTTTTTGGAGTTGCTTCTAAAGGGAGAAGCAACTCTATCAAAATCAAAACTTCATAATTAATTATAATTGTTTCTCTCTCAAGTGTTTTTCCTGCGTAAAATACTCACTGATAGAATTATTTCGACTTGAGCACTGTTTAGTCAGAGTTATAGTTTTCCTAAGACTGTTTTAAACACTGGGATGTTTTTGGAAATACGATCTAGTTTATTAATGTAAGACTCCTGCCCGTAAACTTGAGCTAATTCTGTTGAGTCAGGATTTACTAATAGATTCTTGAATTTACCCAGAGCTTCAAATGTTATGTTCCAAGTGCCCTTTGTCCCCAAGGAATCAAGGAGTGCATTACAGTTGTCACTGTAATATTTAATAAGGACCCTTGTGTAGGAATTTAGAAACTTTCCATTTGAAGGCTTTTTTTGTTCCTAAATACTACAGAAGCTATCAATGTACAAATAAGGCTGAGAAGGCAGGTAAATGGGTGGTTGTGCTTATTCTGCATTCCTGGGATACAGGAAAATGGAATTTAAGAAATAGATAGTCCAGAAGTCTTCAAGCCTGCTATTTTTATATGTGAACAGTTCAAATTAACAGTCAAATGAGCTTTTAATGTAGTTAAATGTAAATATAAAAAAGAACAATTGGCCAAGAAGGGAATGGGGTGAAGAGGAAAAAAATATATAAATATCTTTATTACCTCTGAACTGTACACTTATAAATGGTAAAGATGGTAAATTATATATGTAAATGTTACCTCAATTAAAGAAAAGAAAAATAAAAAAAGTAATTGATTTAAAGAGAGAGAACATTTCACAGTTAACACAAACATATCTGTTGTTATACCACAAAACCACAAGGAAAGAAACAGGAATGAATTGCAGTAATGACCACAAGAGATCTCACTACTTTTCATGTTTAATAAGTTTTGAAAATCTTTTAAGATAGAGAACATTGATTCAGGGCCTCTCTCCATGTAAGTTAATCACTGTTTATCAATTATTTTTTTTGCCATGTCTATAATTATTCTTTCACATGCCTGGCTCCTTCACTAAGTTGAAATGGCCTAAAAGGGGGTGATTTTCTTTAGTCATGAGTCATGCCATGCACAGTGCTTTCCACATGATAGACACACACTGAACATTTTCTCAGAAGCAGTAACTCCACATACTGTTCCAAAAAGAATAGATCTACATCTACTCTTTTTGCCAATGAGAGAAAAGAAGAAGAAGAGGAAAAAGGGGAAGGACAAAAGTAAGGGGAAAAGGAAGAGAAGGAAAATAAAAGCAGTGATTGTTTTATCATCACTAAAGCAACTGATTCCCACTTTAATTTATTTGGATCATTGCTCACACCTATGGTGGTGCCTTGGCACAAATTAGCATTTTGTAGATATCAATTGATAGATTGATAACTGCAGGCTCTGTATCCTTGTTAAGTCACTAGCATGGTCTATGTAAACCAAAGAAGGGTTTCCAAAGACCTTTTGCAAAGATCAAAAAGGTAGACACTTAAAAGCTTTTCTTCTCCCTCTTTCTCTTCCTCTCCCAAGTTAACACTTTTTTCATTTTAAAATGTATTGTGCAGATGAATATGCCTAAGACTAGATTTCATAAATTAAAAGAACTGTATTCTTTCCATCAACTGGCTGTTGGGTTTACATGAAGTCCCAAATTGTTTTTCACTGATGTATTTATTTTTTGACACAATGAAGTAAAAATTCAGTGTTTTTAGTCAGAGAAACTGGTAATTGAGTAACAAACTTACAGATATCTTTGCAAGAATTATCCACATCAGAGTGGCATGAGGTGTATCAGGTCTGATCCTCGGCCAAAACTTTAATTAGCAAGGTTGGCTCTCAGTATTTCTCTCTATCAATTTTTGCACCTTGTATTTACTATAAGTCTTGCCCATTCTGGGTACTTTCCATGATTCCCTTCACTTATGAAAGTATCTCATGCCCCATAGTAAACCTACTGTAGGTTTGAGCTACAGTGTGAAGTGCCTGATAATGATTTAAGGTGTTATCTTTCCCAGTTGCCACTCCTATTTTTAACATTGACTTTGAGTGTTTTCCACTTTGGGTAGCCATCTGTCTTGGTTTGCCTGAGACTTCCCTGGTTTTAGCACTAAAAATCCCAAGTCTCAGGAAACCCCACAGTCCAGGTAATTGCACTAAAAGAACTCTGAAAAATGGCAATTGGGGGAAACTTTTCAACCCACTCTCCCAAACTGCAGTACTCAGTTGAAGATTTTTGTCAGCATCTTCTCTGAAATCCCTGCTCAGGGTGATCTACTCTGTCTCCTCAGGGGTCAAGAGTATCCTGTCTTTCTCCCTCACTCAGCACATCCTGCAAGATGAATTTCTCAGATGCTTGGCTCAGTGTGCTCTCTTTGATCTCACCTTCTCATTGTTTTGATTTGTTCAATAAGAGACATTTGCTTCCCAGACAGTTTCTTTTTTCTTAATTGGCCAATAAAAAATAATCCAAGGTGTGACACTTGGTCTGTCTTCAACCTGTCTTCATGGTTCCCCACCTGTCAAAAGAGAATTCCTCTTTTGTAGTACTTAGATCCTATAGTGACAACAAGGAAAACCCAAGGGAAATTATCTCTATAAGTATATACAGATGGTACCAACATATGATAGTTCAACTTACGGTGTTTCAACTTTACAATGGTGTGAAAGCAATACTCATTCAGTAGAAACTATACTTTGAGTATCAACATAACCATTCCATTTTTCACTTTCAGTATAGTATTCCATAAGTGACAAAAGATATTCAACACTTTATTATAAAATAAGCTTTGCATTAGATGATTTGACCCAATTATAGGCTAATGTGAGTGTTTTGAGTGCATTTAAGATAGGCTAGCCTAAGCTATGATATTCATCAGGTTAGTTGTATTAAATAAATTTCTTTTTCTTTCATTCTTTCTTGTTTTTATTTTTAGAGACACGATCTCGCTATGTTGCCCAGGCTGGACTTAAACCCCCAGCTCAAGGGATATTCCCATCTTAGCCTCCAGAGTAGCTGGGCTACAGGCACAGGTCACTGCCCACAGCTCAGTAAATTTTAACTTACAATATTTTCGGCTTACAATGGGTTTATTGGGACATAACTCCATCATAAGTCAAGGAACAACTGTATTATTTATACCAATGTTGCCTACTATTGAACTAATATTGTAGTTTCAATAAGTAGAGCTTGATTGTCATGCCTGAGATTAAAGGACAATGCAGTGGCAGAGGTCCAGCTGTCTAGGTTGGCCATCTCTCTGTAATTCTAATCACTGTGGCTCTGGAATGCCCTCCATTTCTCAGACATCTATGAATTTCTGCTAGAAATGGAGAAACAAGAATGTGAAAAATGTAAGTCTCATTGAAGGAAGGATCATTTAAGATGCATTTGAACACAGTAGTTGATTTCAGTAACTAAAAAAATAAAAATTGACCATATCATTTTTGTTATGGGGTGAATTGTGTCCCCTCCCTAATTCATATGCTGAAGTGCTAACCCCCAGTGCCTAATAATGTGATGGTATTTAGAGATAAGGTCTTGCAAGAGGTAATTGAGTTAAAATGAGGTCATTAGAGTGAGCCTTAATCTAATATGAAGTTGTCTATAAAAGAAGAGGAAATCAGGACTGGACACACCTATAAAAGGAAGACCTTGTAAAGACATAGGAAGAAGACAGCCATCTATAGGCTGAAGAAAAAGACCAGGAACAAATCCTTTCCTCATGGCCCTCAGAAGAAGCCAATCCTGACAAAACCTTGATTTTTTACATCTAGCCTCCAGAATTGTGAGAAAATAAATTTCTATGGTGTAAGCCACCAAGTGTGTGGTACGATGTGACAGCAGCCCTAACAAACTACAGTAGTCCTCCCTTATCCCCCCTTATGGAGGCTAAGTCCTAACACCCCTCAAGTGAATGCCTGAAACCATGGACAGCACCAAACCTTCTATGTACTGATTTTTCCTATCCATATATACTTATGATAAAGTGTAATTTATGAATTAAGCACAGTAAGAAATCAACAGCAGTAGTAATAAAATAGAACAATGACAACAATACACTATAATAAAAGTCATGTGAATATGGTCTTTCTCTCAAAATATCTTATTGTACTATACTCACCCATCTTGTGATGATGTGAGACTATACAATACCTATGTGATGAGATGAAGTGAGGTGACTGATGTAGGCATTGTGACATAAATGGAAAATTCCAGAAATAAACAATTCATAAGGTTTAAGTTACGTGCCACCCTCATTACTGAGATGAAATCTCACTCCGCCCCTCTCTGTTCTTCCAGGATTACCATCAGTCACTTGGTAGCCCTCTAGATTATCAGATTGATTGTCACAGTATCCCAGGGTTTGTGTTCAGTTAACACTTATTTTACTTATTAATGGCCCCAAAGGGCAAGAGCAGTGATGTAATATTTTCAGACTCAAGATGACCACAGGTAACTGAGACCTCAGAAAGCAAAACCACAAATGAAGGAGGACTATGGTAAATGAATTTTCTAGTAGATAAACACAGAATATACTTATGTAAGTGATCAAAACAGAGCTCTCATTAAAGATGGATTTAAAACCTTGCTTGAGGCAGGAACCAGGGTGGGCAGATTAATTACATGCAGTGGATTCGCAGCTCTCACACTGGAAGTTGGACTCTTATACCTAAGCCCACAGCAATATCTCAGCAATCAAAATGGAAAGAAATGCAAAGTTCCTGTAAAAGTGTGAAAGAAGGACTTTAGATTTTTTTTTCTTCCAAACTATCAGTGAAGCCTCTTGAAAATAGCTTTAAGAATGCGATATCAAGTGTTTGTGCCTCTTCCTCTCACAAATAACCTTGATCACTAATCTCTTATTTCACCACAACCAAGATTCTACTTAACCTTGAAAAACATAACATTGTCATATTCCCTCCTGAAGAGGATTTCTCCATGCAGAGTAAATTAAGAATTATAAATTGAACAAACATTAAACAGGACTATGTATTGAGGAAAAACTGATTATGGCCTCTTAAAAATGAACAGACATGGTGAATTGTATCATATGTAAATTATAGCTTAATAAAGCTGTTATGTATTTTAAAAAAGAACAAATATGTCACCTTTATCAGTGATATCCCTTTCATTTTGCCCCATTTTTTGATGATGTCTTAGAATCATCCAATTCGCTTCAATCGTTATTGCTGTTCTCCTTTCCCCTTGGGCAGTATTTAGGGGTCATTACTTAGTCAAAAGAGAAGATAAAGATCTCCAATGAAAAGTCAGGTAGTTGAGAAAGATAAAATACCACTGACCTTGGACCTGTTTTTGTAATTTCATTCAGGAAATGTTCAAAGAAATTTGCCATGGTGTTTTTCACCAGCAGGTCATAACACTCCATTATAACTCAACAATTTTCCCAAGTAGGCATTCTGGGAATTCCTCCTCTGTCCCTCTCATCCAGTCAGCTTCTTTTTGGCAGTGGGTGAGGTGCATCCACTAGGGGTCTTGTCTTGAGAGTAAGTGAAGTTATAGGAGATCTGCCTCTCGTCTTCCTGGGCCAGGTGCACCTGTAGCCTTACTGGGGTTTTGGATGGTTCTGTCACGTCATCAGCAATTTCTAAAGTGGAATGTAGAGGGCAGACACTGCCTGTGAAGCTCAATTTACTTAGCATTTGATTTAGTGCAGAAGTTTATACAAAAGCAGGCCCATTGCCCAGTCTCCTGCGAAGGACTCAGAGGACTAGCTTCTTGATTACACTTGAGAGAGAAAGGGTTCTTGGTACAGGAAATAGTGCTGAGGTTAACCTCGTATCGCATTTCTAATGGAAAATTGCTCTTGGCCTCCTGAGAGCTTCCACCTCTTCCCGTCTCCAGAAACAGATCCTAATTTCACCTGCTGAGCAATGACTCCCAAACTCTCAGACTGGGTGGCTTGGGTGTGGGTGCCAAGCAAGGAGCACGTGATCCAGCAGGCCTGGCCAATCAAAGGACCAGCTGGTTCTAGCCCTCAGTGATTGGCCAAGAGATGCATACTAAACCTACATTGTCCAATCAGAGTGACTGTACTTGGGGTTGGGTGGAGGTGTCGGAGAGTATCTGATATGCAGAAACCCCATCTGTAAGGGTCTGCTCCGAGAAGCAGAACCAGTCACAAGCGCATGGGATGAGGATTTATTGCATCGATTTGATCTGACTCCTGTGAATGCCAGTCACAGCCTTGGCCTCTGGTGCTGAGCCTGAAGTCATGGCAGGATGAAGGAAGAATAGAGGGACATGGACTCGAGGAGAGAAGGGACAACTGGAGCCTGCGTTTGTCAGTCACTGGTACCCATGTTGGGCTCCCCCTGACTCCAACCTCGCTGCTGAGAATCTCCCTGCAGGAGAAGTGGTGATCTCCCTGCAGACTGGTACTCACAACTGGAGGAAATCCGGAAAAGGAGAAGGAAAGAGATCCCAGGAAAACTGTAGCTGGTCCCAGGGGACCAGTCAGCTGCCCCCGTGAACAAGCTAAGCCAGGGGCTGCAACAGCGCCTGACCTACATCCATCTTCCCAGAGTAACAACGGCTACTGCTCCTCTGTGACCTTCCAAACCAAATCTTACACAGCCTTCTCTTGTGCCAGGTCTAACCAGAAACATTCAGGGAAGAGGACTCTGGGAAACATTGTTTAGCTTAGCCAAGTTGCCCTATTGCAAAGCCACAATCCCCTGAAACTCTAACGTGAGGACTGTGAGGCTGGAGCTACTGCAGCCATTCTGTTCCCACGAAGCAGCTCAGCTTTGTGGAGCCCAAGGATGAAACTAAGGAAATCAAAGGCAGAGAGAGGGAAAAACAAAACACAAGTTTGACCACGCTGGTCAAGCCCCGAGTCCTGAAATACCTGAAACTACCTCCTGGAGTTTTCAGTTATGAGACACGGTAAATTTTCTGTGCTTAAACCAGTTTGAAATACGTTTCTGACACAGGGCCCCAGAAGACTGCTAAATGACAATTTTAAGGTAGGACTGCTGTATTTGCTTAAGATGAAGTTTCTTAGTAGTTTTAAAAAGCATTAAATGATATTAAATACTATTAAGCAACATTAAATACATCCTGGAGAAAACCAAACAACAGTTAATTTGAATCTTATTATTGATCTGATGAAGAGAAAGAATAAAAAATATTTCCCATTTTTAAAAAGACCAGCACAAAGACAGGAAGACAAAGTTTCCATTGTCCACGAAATAGCCTTCTTTCATTAGACCATAATCAAACTCTTCCCTGTCTCCCCTTCACACTTTCCTTGCTTTCCCACATAATGTAAAAGGTCTGGATGAGTGTTGATATATATTTCCTGGGAATAAAAGGGGATATTTTCCTCCCATAGAATAGATTTTTCTACTATGCAAGGAAGGGGTGTGGTAGCTAATTCTATTATGCTATTTAACCTAATATGTGTAAGGTCAACATTACATCAAACTTGCTAATCTCAAATTCTGCTTAAAAGACTGAGTTTGGTAGAAACTGTTTTTGTAAAACCAGTAATTTAATAACTAAATTTCGATTTTCAGCTACGAATCATATTTACATGAATGCATTAAATATCCCAGTACGTTCCACGGATTAAGTATGGTCTTAAATATTAGGAACATTTAAAATCTGCTTCCAGACACAAGAAGACAAGATCATGATATCTTTAAGAACAGAAAAAAAGGAAGTCACAGATTCTTCCAGTCACCTACAGAAAGAACAATTAACAAGGAATGGTGGCAGAGGGTGGTATGTGATACATTAATGTCAAAGTGAGGTGGTTCAGCTCCTCATCCCTTCTTAGTCACTATCCCTTTAAATGTGGAACTGTTCATTGGAAAGGGAACATCTGGCCACCCTATTAACAAATGCTTTTAATCACTTTGTAATTCTACAACAAAAGTGAGGCATATAGATTGTTGTATTGATCGTAATGGTTAAAAACATTTTTTAATGAAGACAAATAAATTTATTAAGAAGCTCAACAAATGAAAAACCAGTAAATGCAAGGCTTTCTTCAAATATATTTTATGGAAACAATGCTACACAACATATACTTTGCAAAATTATCTTAACATACTGATTACATGTTTCAAACTATCATTAACGTGTTTTTATTTAAATACATTTACACTTTAAATGAGACATAGAGATATTGATTATTTTAATTAATTTTACAATCAAAATCATTATTTTCCAGGCATTTATTACCTCATTATGAAAAAGTTCACTTTATATAAATAACCTGAGCTATTATGACAAAGTAATTTTTGGTGTTCTTTTACAATTTTAAAAACAATTTCTCTAAGAGAATGACATGCAATTGTACTGTGTAAAAGTAAAGGTTTTTGATTTAACAAAGACTCTTTTGTTCTATAGAGAAGAAGGAAATTTTAATACAGCATTTCTCAAAGTGGGGTTCTTGGATCAGCAACATCTGAATCACTTGGGAACTTATTAGAAATGCAAGTTATCAGGCCTCACTCCAGATCTGCTCCATTAGAAATTCTGGTGGTGGAGTCCAGCTGTCTATCCAACAAGCCCTCCAGGTGATTCTGCTGCTGATGTAGTTGCAGAACCGCTACCATAATATTGCCTGGTCTAAGATCTTGGCAATGAGACTGAAGTATGTTTGGCAGTGTGGTTTGAGTAGCTCCCAGTAAAACCATTGCTGACCTCTAACTCAGTACTCAATCACCATACTGTAGTTTGTTTTGATTAGTTGGTGATTTCCAAATATTCAAAACAGTACATATTATATAACCACTTTTATAAGGTTATGTAAAGAATAAATGAAATATCTATAAAGTGCTTAGTGTGCTTATGTAGGTGTGCTATATGTGCTGTGCATCACACAAAGGGGAAATTATTTTATTGTGCATTACCGGTATTCAAATTATTACTGTTCATTTACATTCTCTTTGCTCATAGCAAAATGAATACACAAAAGCACAATATATTCTACTCATTATACAGTCATAGACATTTAAACCTAAGGGCACTATTAGAGGTTACTTGGATCCAGCTTCTCCTTTTACTCGGGGGGGAAACTGAAGCAAAAGAAGGCTGAGGGACAGGTCTACATAGGGATTAATGGGCAAAGATTAGGAGCCCCAACTGTCAACTCCTGGACCGGTGTCTTGCAGAGGAAGTCATCCATGCTGTGCTCCTTAAGACAACAACAGTGCTTACTCCGGAATTTTCTCCTTGACATTACTAATTCGTATCCAGTGCTAATCTCTCCACCTCTATTCCCTCATATAGTAACTGACATTTTTATTCAAAATTGCAAAACTATTTATTATGCTTGAAGCTTTCTAGATGTACATAAATAGAAAACAATGTAAAATATGTATGCAAAAGCCACATATTTCTACAACATTCAGTGAAATCTTGATGCTGAATATCAGATACATATCAGATGCTAGATATGTACAAATTCAAGTTTCGTATATATACGTGTTCACTTTTTCTTTTGTGTTGTGGACCAGTAAATGAGCATGCAAAAAACTAACCTTCAACGTGTCATTTTATTCTGAAAAATATCTCTGGATTATCCCACCTGGCATAATGGGAACTTCACTCTCACTGAGCCATACCGCAGCACATTGGGGGAAACTTCATATGGAAGCAGAGGAGGGACTTCTGTATATATAAGAACAAAAAACATCTCTTTTAATTTAAAAAGTCTGTAGTTAGATAATTTTTCCATTTTTCTGCTTTTCTTTTATGTTACCTCAAATATCCCTTAGCCATTAAAAAAATTACAAAAAAAAAAAATTTACAGTAGCACAGTGTGTAAACTCAATTCTTGAAACTTCCAGTTACAGCATTGTATAATTTTGAATGTATTTTCTCTCTTATATGTTCATATCACATATTCAAAGCTGTTGACTAGCAGCAACATTTCTTATCTCAACACCATTTATCGATTTAGCATTGCGTTCCTTCCAGAATCCCCAAGCTCAAAACTTCACACACTATTTTCTACATTATAGGACATGAAAGTGTGCTGTATCCGTTACTGTTATGAACAGTTCATGACACACTGTTGAGTGTACATCCTTAATGGTTTCATGTAAAAGCTTCAACAGAAGGAAGCAAAGGATCTGTGGCTTACACAGAAAAATTATTATGTCACAAGCTGGCCACTAAACTAAAATCTTATCCTAATTCATGCATCATTAGACAAAAAGCCTGAGGAACTGAAAAACAGCATCTAAGCTTTTTCCACTTTCAAATGTTTAAAGAAGTTTTAGATTAATGGCTTTTGATGATTTTGATGATGTCAAGGATGGGATGCAAGTGCCATATTAATTTCCATGACTGGCTGCCAAATATTAAAGGCAATTCATGATTACTAAGTTCATCTTTTCTGATTCTGAAAATCCATTATAGCAAGAAAAAATAGAAAATCCAGAAAAGTAGAAACAATTTATAAAAACGATTAGAATATATTTATAATAACAGAATGTTTAGATGTGGGATTAAAATTCTTCTGGAAGGATTCGTTACAAGATTATAAAATATCTCTGTGTGAATTAATATTTAAACCATCGTTTCATCTTTAAATTACAGAGATCATGTTTTTCATATTTTAAACTCTTTCTAAAATTCCCAACCACAATCACAATACATGATGCAGTATAAATCTGAAATGATTTATTTAATTTTACTACTCTAATCAAATAACAAGATCTCTGTCTTGGGCCTGGAAAAACCCAGTTATTAATTCTTTACTACCCCTTCCCGAAATTCTCTGGTTTGCTGACATGTAAATAAGATTCCAAGAATGTTCTAAAGAAAGCAAAATGACTGTGCTCTGAACTTAAAAATTGTTTTTTTTTTTCCTCTCCCAGAATTTGTTTTAATTGAAAATAAATTCTGTCCTTGAATGTGTGTACATAACTCCTTGGTCAGGCTGTGTTCTCTTATCATCAAATATAAATATTGAAAGGCCTAAAGATTGTTCTTGAACCCTAATTCGAATTACCATTGCCAGCATATCAAATACTCCAGGGTGAGTGTATTAAAAGCTCTAAAAGATTCTGCTTTTACTTTTTAGCCAAATGGACATGTTTTATTCAGGTTCTCAAAAGGAAATCCTGATTCAGCTCATCCATATTACTTTGAAAGTGTGTCATTCCTTCCTAAATTCCAGTGGCTTTAATGGCCCTAATGTGGCCTCTTCCCACTCCATCCTGACCTCACTCCTGCACACTTCATCTCTTCACCTTCATCCCTTCAGTCCTTCACCCCTGCTCCCTGCACCCCCCGAACTCCCTCCTGCCTGAGGGCTTTGAGAGTTTTAGGGGACCACCTCTTTTACCCTCCCCAGACCAAAGACAATGTCTAGTCCCCCTTCAGCCTCATCATTTCTTTCCCAGGGAAAATTCCCCTGATCACACCACCCCCTCCATTTCATATAACCCCTTTTATGTCTATCTCTCTTAGCATCACAACCTTTCCATTGCAGCTGTCATTACAAATGCCATTTTACATTTAGTGGTGTTATTTTTTATTATCTATCGCTTAGCTGTACTGAAGTCAGCGATCATGTTTTTGCCCCATTATTAACCTCAAGCACCTATGTGTCTGCACAGAACAGGCAGGTATGCTCTATCTGTCAACTGAATGACAGTAAGTGAATGACTGTTCACACACACATAAACACTGGCGGGTAGAACTTTGTCAGCCATTAACATTTATACTAACCCAGGTTCCTACATAATCTTTGTCTTCCAAATGTTTTGTAAATCACACTGGTAAACACACACACACACACACACACACACACACGGTTGCATGAGCTTGCACACACAGAGAATATCACCATTTTTAGTGGCTAAGATAGCTGCACTCAACAGTGATAAATCAGGTTTTTCGTGATGATTGTTGTTTTTAATAACTCTTGTTATTAAAAATTCCTGGAGCTAAAGAACTGCTTTGCATTATGATCCTGCAGAAGAAGTCCAAATTAGGCAGGATGACATAGGTCCTAAGATGCTGAAGGAAGCTAATGAAAACACAAGGTCCATGTATGCAGGCAACAGATTTCTGATAAGTCCTCTTTTCCTCCTGGCAATCTTTTAAGAGATGGTGAAAAAGAGGAGTAATCTTCAATTAAAATGGAATAACTACCATTTCCTTGTAAGTTTTAATATACATCTTTATTTTTTTTTTGAAGTTACAATTTAATAGTATATTGTTTTGTCCATTCTTCCAGAAGTTAATTTAAGAAAACAATGTATACTTCATGAGAAATTGCCAAGCATCAGTCAACATCAACAAATAAGAGAAATATGCATTTTTAATAATCTGCTATGTAGTATGATTTATTTTTAAAGAAATAGAAACAGGTTTTTCAAATAGTAAACCTATTTCACACTGGCTATATAGCCTCGTGCATTCTCTACAGTCCTTGGTTTCTCCACATGAAAAATGGAGATAAATGTTGGTTGAGGAATAAAAGAGATCTCAAAGAGATCAGGTATAGAAAGCATGCAGCCCCAGGACTGGCCCCAGAGTCTATGTTTGTGTCTCCTCTCTCCTCTCTCCTTTGCTTCCTGGTCAAACTCCATTCATTCATGTTGAAAGCCTCTAGATTATCCAGGTATCTGTGTGATGTAATTATTCTAATAGTCATTTGTTTTAACTCAAGGAAATTAAAAGAAAGAGAGCTTTTCTTTCCCTTCTCAAGAACGAAGCAGCCTAATGCTTGCATGTGAAACATACACAGAAATACATGTTTGATGATAAAACTCATCCTTGGATACCTCTAGGCTGTTCTTTCATCAGAAAAAAAGGTAGATTTTAAAACATGGAGAAAATAATGATACTTTTCTGAGATGATACTTTTGAGTATGATACTTTTCTGAGATTCTTTCTTACACACACACACACATACCCCCACTCCTCATTCTCCCCTTACCATTTTTCTCCACTTAAAAACGTGCCCTTCATTTCTATACTTCCTCAGAAGTGGAGAATGCAGTTACTCTCAAAACCTCTAATGAATTTATTAGTATTAAAGCTCCAGTTAAGTCTCGCCACTGTTTGGTCACAGGGTTTTTCATTCTGTCCAAAGCTGATTGAAGGTCTTGTAATATGTCTCTGTAGCTATTTCCATAGTGAGCACTCCAGGTATAGAGAAAATCATAGGCAGGTTTCCACATCATCTATAAAGAAAAAAAAATTAGACTGGCGTAGTGTGGAAGTAGAAAAGAAAGAGAATAGATTTAAAAAAACAAAAAAACCCAAAAAAAACCAAGGCCTCTTAAGACTTAAAAGAAAATGGAGTATCAATTATGCATAGACTTATCTCATGTCACAGAAAAGATGTTTTTTTCCTTGTTATATCCCTATGTTTTCAAAGCTAGAGATTTTTAAAATAACTACATCTAGAGCCTTTATTTTTATCTATCATCTTTACGTTACTCTTTTCCTTGATGTAAATATAAAATTCTTTGCACATTTTTTGATGAAAACAAATGTTATTGAGATGAACTTTTCACTCTCTGAGAGACTTTTTAGGTACAAACTTTTATTGTTATATGTATCTGTTGTGAGTTTTATGACACCACATATCACACTAAGGAGCTATACAGTGTATTTAACACTCAAGCAAGTCTACACATAAGCAAAAATGGAGCTTCATAATCAAATCAAAATGAAAGTAAAAATATAGTTCTCCAATTTAAGATATTACTTTAATGATGTATTTTGTGACCCAAAGAAAGATCAATATTTAATGCTACTTCATTTTGCTTTCCCTAAGCACCTACCCATACCAATGCTGTCATTGTTTCCATAGAAATGTACGTCAAAGGCAAACTTCATATACTAGGGTGTATGTAATGGTAACCAAGGCAACCAGGCTCAGTGAGAATAAAGACAAAGGCAGACCAAATAAGACAGATTGTAGGAAACACACACACACACACACACACACACACACACACATACACACACACAGAGAGAGAGCTTAAAATGAATTTTCTCTAAGAAAACAACAAAATGAAACATGCACATATAATTGGAATATTTGGAATATAAACTTTATTACTCACTTCTTTTTTGGGTTCACTAAACTAATTCAGTTGAGATTCTATCACTTGCAAAATGTAGGAACACAGATTCTGAGCTAAATATTATGCAGAATTGTTCTTTTAAAATAGAGTCTCCCTTAACAGTAATATCACATGAAGTAGGGCCTTGGGATATAATTTTTCACCTTCCTCCAATATCCCCATATAGTCCACAGTTGAAGGTAAAAACTCCTAAATAAGGAGTTCTATTATGTTTGATTCAATCCATATAAAAGGCTCAAAGAATAATTTTATGTTATTTATCCAAATTGGCATTCCTGAACAGCCATAAACACCCATATCCTCGCCTCTCTTGACAAAACTCAATCCTACAAGACAGAGAATGAAAGATAATTATCAAAGTTATACTGTATCGAAGTATATCATGCAGGAACAAAAATCATCTCAATTTTTTTATATAAGCTTTACCTTTACCAATCAGATTCATAAAGAATTTTATCTTCTATCACTGATAGGATGTAAATAAGGTATCCCTTCATCTGTATTTCTGAAAAATTACATTGAAACCAAACCTCCCAAAATACAGGTTGCCATTAGTAGCTCAGCAATGGAAGATGAGTTGAGTCATAATAATAAACTTTTTTTGTCAGACTTAATCTTGGCTGTCACTGCTCAGATACTAGGAAGCACTAAACAAATAGATTATTCTGTAGTGGATATATCCTAACTATCTCTAAAAGCTCTGGTACCTAAATTCTATGTTGCATTCACTTAAAAATCCCTGATGCTCAACTAGTTGGCAGATTTTTCAATTTATCATGTATTGTTTAAAACAATGGTGTTTCAACTAAAGGCTTCTAAAACTGTTCTAAGTGCCTTAATGACTGAATCTCGTAAGAGCTGTATTTGGAGATACTTTATGACAGATAGCAACTGATAGTATTTCAGTAACAGAGGGATGGCATAGGAGGTTAGCATAAAGTCTTGCAGAAAACAGATATGTCTTAAGAATTGCAAATGGGTAATTTTTAGGTTGTTCACTACTCTGCAGATTTAGGTACCTTTATAGACAGAAGCAGCCAAAATGGTTCCACTTGCTTTCCTGGGTAGAAAAGCCCTGCATCATCTATTATGCTGCAGCACTGTGAATTGCTATGTATAGAAAAGCCCTGAGGCACACTCACTCACAGAGCAAGTTTTCAGTGCTGCTGAGGGCAGGAAATACACCCAGGTGATGCGGAAATTAGAAACTACACATTCAGAAAAGGTCCAATGATGTATCTACTCACAAACTCACGCAGAGTGCCACATAACTCCCTCAATTTGGCAATTTGTACTGATCGCAGAACAGTAGAGCCAGTTCCTACAATTCAGAGAAATTTGGATAGATTGCTGAGTACTAGACCCTAATTAAGATGTTTGAAGGTGTAAAGAAACTTCCCAAGAGTCCCCTGAAGTAGACTGTAATGCAAGGAGGAATATTGCCCTAAACTCATTTGAGATTCCCTGGAGTCTAAACCATAATCTGGCTAGAAATGGGTATAATAACTTTGGGCCAAAAACATTAGGGCACTGGGAAACTTCATTATCTGTACTAAAATGTAAGCACATTTTGCATCCAATTTTTGTTCCTCATTATAAGCAAATTAAGCCTGAATATTTCTTTGGTACAAAACTTGATCTTCCATATATAAAATCATCGGTGGTTCTCAACACAGATGATAGTAAAACACTATTATAACTAAAATACATTGCAAATGTTCAAAATATATCATTGTTCATTGATTATTTTACTTATTGAATCAAGATTCAGTGAGTGCCTACCACTACAAGGAATTTTGGAATAACAAGGTGTAAAATGATGAAAATAGCACGGCTCTTGCTTTAGCATAGAAAAGAGATAGGAACTTGCACAAACACTGGCCAAATGGGTAAATAGACAGGACTTGATAATTAATAACAATTACGAAAAGCTCAAAAATTGCTTGCATGTCTTAAATCATTATGATGAAAAAGAAAATGATTGTTCCATTGACTGAGAGGCATGACGTTATAACAGAAAAAAAAGATGGGTCTTGGTGTCCAAATCTTATGGTCCATCTGAGTTCCATTGTCTCTTTAATGGGTCAATTTGAGCAAGTTAACTGAGTTATCTGAGCTTTGATTTTTTAAAATCTATAAGATATAGGTAATATATCCCAAGTCTTATGCCCAAAGCACTTCATGAAGTATCTGGCATATAGTTTTCATTTAATACTTTTTAATGGGATATGGAAGAAAGTGGGTGCTTTTTTGGTGGGGGCAAGATAATGAGCCTGGTTTTAGCCATACTGTACATGAAATTAAGGATTAGGGGGTGTTGGATAAGTAGTTGAAATGGGGAGATGACCTCAAGGGGACAAGGGTTTAGCATAACTCATGCCACACTGAGGGTAAAAAGCATGAAAGTAGACAGAAATGCCAAGGAAAAGAATAAAGGGCATACAAAATTTAAGCCTCAACTAAGTCTACAATTTGTGGCAACTAATTAAGAAATAAAAGCAAATAAAGGATAGGAAGAACCTGGAGTTAGAGCAATAGAAAATGAAGTGGGTGCTTCATACAGCAAAAGCCAAGGACTAACCACATCCCAAAATGACAAGTCAGTGGCTTACTAGAGCCAGCTCACACAAGCTCCCCAAAACCAATTGTTCATAAATCTTCCCACCTCCTTGTTCAGAGACATCACAGTGGTAAGTTAAAATCATCCGTGCTGGGAGTATTTATAGCATGGAATTTAGCAAAAGCTATAAATTAGGGTTTTCCCACTTACAGAACTGGTTGTTAAACATTTGCCAGCATGCCACTGAAGACTTCCCTTTTCTGTTATCTCCCCCACTACCTCTAACATCAAGTAGAAATATGAAGAAAAACTTAGAAAAGCCAGTATTGGGGCCATTATCAGGCCTCTAGTAACTTGGAGAAGTCAGTTACAAGAGAGTAGTGGAGGGCGTACTACAGGTATGAACAGGTATCAAAGAAATGAAGACAGAACATTGATCACGTTTGGAATTTAAGTGTCAAAGGAAGAGAGTCAGATCCAGAATAGGCAGCAGTAGAAAACAGAAGTATTTTTAAAAGAAAAATCTTTTTTTCTTTTAAAGTAAAGAGTAAAAGTAAAGTAAGTAAAAATTAATGTTCTACAATGGAGAGGATTTTTTTATTTGAATCCTAACTTTGGCAGATAGAGAATTTAGGGTTAATGAGGATCAAAGAGAAAGCATACATAAAATATCCAAAAAGAAAGGTTAACCTCTTTAGCAGAAACATAAACATAAAAGGATGTTAAAATCATTATGGAGTTGGGGCACATAATTAGAGGGGTAAGTATCATGAGAAATTGAGAAGACATGAGAACAAAAACATATGTCAATAGTTATGTACTTGATACACTGATAAAAAATATTAAGTTTTTAGAACTATGTTTTACTTTAATAAGCAAATCTCTACCAGGTGTAGTAAATATAACTTTTTCTATATTGGGCTTTGCCTTGAGAAAACCTGATAACAGTCCAGCTTTTATCAATGCAATAAATAGTCTAATCAGTTGTCTTTTTATCTTTTGTGAAAGATACATGATATTGGATTTAAGCCCTCAAATGCACTCATTTCTTCAGCATTTTTTGTTATTTTATTTCATTCTAGTTTTCTTATAAAGTTAATATATGTTAACCACGGCAAAGACACAAGTGGTAACTTGCATACATTCATTAACAGTAAACTCTATGAAATTATGCCTGAAAATACATACCCAGTAAGGTCACAAAAATTCTACATTTTGTAGTAAATTACAAAGACAGTAGAATCATCTTCTCTGGAAATGTTTGAAGGAATAAAATGGGTAGAATAAATAATTTTCTTTCTGGGCTGACCTAGATAAGTCCTCCGAAAGCTGGGAAGGAGTTATGGACTACCGAGATCCCTTCCAGGTTTGTATTATCTTGTATCTATTCCGTGTTTTAAAAATAGTTCTTCCTCTCTGGCTCAATGTTATGATTAGGAGAAGTATGCAGAAACTCTGCACTTATGTCTCAAATCAAAAGGAAAGCATGCTCCTGAAGGTTTGTTTTTGTTGAATTATTCTTAACCGC